GGCGGGGCGGGATCTCCAAGCAAAACCTGATAGCTCTCCCTTCAGAGTCCTCTTTCCATGCAACCCCACCAGAGGAGACAAAGAAAAACAAAGTCAAGCCACTAGGAGTGTGACTAATTACTGGTCTCTTCCCTCACCCAGCACGCAAGGAGCCAATATGTGGCCCACAGACCCCTGCAGTTGCTTCTCCCACTGCCATGTGGCAAGAGAAGGCTGGGGGGCTACCTATCACCCATGTGGTGGTAGGGGGAGGAAGGTAAGAAGCAGGGTACCCCCAATGTGTCCTGCATGGCAAGGGTTGGAGCAGGGGAGATCCCAGGGGTCCACCCCTGCAGCATCTTGTGTTATTCTCAAAAGTCCAAAGAGTTAAACTTATACAATGATAAAGCTTGTTTATTCAGAAAGGATCCTTAGCCTACCTATCTGCTGTTCCCTCCTGCAATCCCCCAGCCCATGTAACAACTCTTAAAGGCATCCCCACACATGAGTAGCATAGTGTGCAGCCTTCAACTGCAGGGAAGTGGCTACTGTAAAAAAAGTTGTGCTAGGCCAGGGCTGTGCAGTTAGAGTACCCTTGTGAGGAGCACTGTGTGGGCCATTAAAAAAATTCCTATCCAAAAGCACTCTGCAAACAAGCAAGAAAAAGGTAGCACATGGAGAACAGAAAGGAATAGCCTTGTTTTACAGATTGAGGCAGGCAGCAAGTGAATTGACTAAGTCAGGATAGAGTGCTTGTGACATCTCTCTCATGTCTCAATGAAGTCTGTTTTTCCTCTCCGCATCCAGGTGGGAAAACAAGGAACTGGTATCATAGGCACTAACACGTCAACTCCAAGAACAAGGACTTGAGCAAAGTGGGTTCCAGATGCCTCTGAAGTCTATTATTCTGATAAAATTGTAGGTGAATGGGTGATGTACCATTTCAGTGTCAGGTCTCTGCCGTCATCAGTAAGTGCCCTAAGGTCTATGCCCTACACAACTGGATGAAGTAATTGTAGGTGCTACATCTAACCAGGGAGTGCTAAGGTTAATGGCTGGTTGTATTGCTGACAGTGCTTTCTTATGTGTATAATGTATGTGTATAATGCACAATAACCACTGTTCAGAGCAAGATAAAAATAACACTATTAAAGAGGCTGGCTCCTTATTTTGCCTCCGAGGGTGAATGATCATGCTGGTATTGCGTAAAAGCAAATCTGCATTTCTTATGCAAGATGTGTTCTCTTTTCCAACAGGTGAAGGAACAGTTGCCAATATCAATATCCACAGCTGGTATAAGGTAACACTGGGGGGCTGGCATTAATCACTGGACTCATTCTTCAGCTCTCAAGCGCTCATCTCTTGCTATACCTTCTGGCACCGGTAAACCTGATCACTTCTGCAAAATTATAAATAAATTAAAAGCAATCCATATCCCTCTTCTACATTTAGTAATTTAGAGATGGATGGTTTGGCCTTGATGCTTACACAAATTACACACAACCTAAAACACTGTCATAAACATCTTGATACTTCCTAAATAGATACAAATAGGACTCCTATAGATTCACGCTAGGGTCGGAAAGGATCATCGAGTCTGACCCTCTGCCAGGGGCAGGAAAAAGTGCTGGGGTCATGTGACCCCAGCCAGGTGCTTGCCTGGTCTCCACTTGAAGACCCCCAAAGTAGGACAGCACCAGCTCCCTTGGAAGCCCATTCCAGATTCTGGCAACCCTGACCATGAAGAAGTTCTTTCTGATGTCCAACCTAAATCTACTCTCCATTAGCTCATGGCTGTTCTTTCTGGTTATTCCAAGGGGTGCTCTGATAAACAGAGCATCTCTTATTCCCTGCTGCGCCCCACCTGATGAATCTGAATTTGCCACAAGATCCCCACTCAGCCTCCTCTTATGGAGATTGAAAAGGTCCAGGTCCCTCAGCCTTTCTTCATAAGGCCTTCCCTGCAGGCCTCTAACCATACAAGTAGCCCTCCTCTGGACCCTCTCAAGGTTGTCCACCTTCTTTTTGAATTGTGGCACCCAGAACTGGATGCAGTACCCCAGCTGAAGCCTGACCAGTGCCATATAGAGGGGGAGCATCACCTACCTGGACCTGTTCATGATGCACCTGCTAATGAATGACAAAGTGCGGTTAGCTCTGCTAATTACTTTGTCATATTGATGACTCATGTTCATCTTGGAGTCGGCAATGACTCTGACAATGACTCCGCCACTGTGCTGCTGAGAAGGTCATCCCCCAGCTTATAGGTGCACTGGTGATTCTCCCTAGGTGCAGAACCTTGCACTTGTACTTGTTGAACTGCTTCCTATTGTTCTCTGCCCACTTCTCTAACCTGTCCAGGTCCACCTGGATTCGGTTTCCTCCCATCAGTGTGTTTGCTTTGCCCCATAGTTTGGTGTCATCTGTGAATTTGGACAGGGTGCTTGCTCCTTGCTGCTTCCATTAACATTTCAGGGAGCAGAATCAGATCCTGTATATGGAAATATACTGAATTCCTTCAAATCACCTTATCTCAAGAAAAAACTGGTGGAGAAAGAACTGTCCAGAGTGTTCAAATCAGGGATAGAGATTTACTGCTAGGAGATCAGGTCAGACTTTAGGTTTATTCTAAAAAAATTTTATAACATTCAGGAGCCTGAATTTAAGACAGAGGTCCATAGCTTTCTGCTGATGAGGGCTGGAGCTTGTGACCCAGCTGTCACTGCTGGTTAGGAACCTGTACCTGCACCCTCCTCCAAGCATCTAGATGTCATATACCTGACCCCTCTGCAACAAGACTAAGCTCAGACACAGCACAGTAGCAGGCTCTGCAACATGGAGAAGCACTGCACAGGGAATGAGCAGTATGGAGTTGCTTCAGAACAGCAGTCTCCTACACCAGATCAGACCTCTTCAGGGACCAGATCTAGCCCATAGGCCAGGGGTTGTCAACCAAGGGTACACATATACCTGGGGGTACTTGAGAAGGCCCTAGGGGGTACACGTGGGTGGGTGGGGATGGAGCACCACTATGCACCATCCTGCGCTGCCGCTGCCAGCCCAGCCAGACACGGAGGGCAGGGGATGCTCACACACACAGCTGCCGCCACTCCATGTTTGGCCACACACTGCCACCCTGCCCCCCCATTCCCACTCTGTGTCTGGCCACCAGGGGTACACTGCTCCAAAAAGGTTGATAACCCCTGCCATAGGTTGCCAACCTCTGGTCTAAACGTTTCGCAATAAAAATTAGGTGAGGTGTATGTTAGTTCCTATTTAATGCTTGCAATAAAGGTGGGTATTTTAAAATAATATACAAAATCAAAATAAACAGGATCCTTTCTCCAGTTCTCACTCCCATCAAATCCCAATCACACCTATAGCAAGCAGCATGGTCACGTGACATGACAATCAGACTTGGGTTTCACGTCTGATTGCCATGGATCTGCTGCGTGACTTCAAGCAAGACATTATATTCGAATGCTTCAGTTCCTGCTCTCTTGCTTTGTTTTGCCTATTCAAATTATAAACTCCTTGTTTTTAGGGCTTCTATCTGTACAAGACCTAGCATAAGGGGGCCACAGTCTGAGAACTCTAACTTTTTGGTCACAGCACAAAATTACAATACAAAAACCCACCAATATTTCCCCAACAATATACATGGATTTTGCTGGGCATGTCCTGAAGACCAGGAAATCCAGCTTACAGCAGAAAAGGTTTAGTTAAAGACCCAACATCCTGGCATCAAGTGCCTCAGAATTAATAGGAGTCTGACAATACAACCATTACAATTAGTCTAGGTATTGTTTCCTGAGTGGAAGAGAAACAGTCTCTAAGGTAGCAGGTCATGAAACAAAGTATTGCACTTAACCTTGAAACTAGCTGGAAGTGAGAACACAGCCTGGGCTGCAAGAAGACAAATCTTTCAGTGATTAGGCAAAGGAGATCATGTAATGCTAAGAGTCAATGCTCACCCTACAGCGTAAAAGTGCTTTCAGATCAATCACCTGTGGCAAAACTTATTCTAGATCTATGGTCAAGGAGGCCTGAGGGGTTTGCTGGAAAGTTGCCCAGCTTTTGGGGGAGAGAAAGGGACATCAGTAGATAACTTAGCATTTAAAAGAAATAGCCACAATATAACGCACAAGGCTAATGATGCAAAGACTTGGTCTGTACATGGAATATAGTCTGATCAGGAACTGCACCAAACAATTTCACATGACAGTGAACATGCATACCTTCCAGTTCCAAACTAGCAATACTTCCTACTTATCCATCCTGTTAGGCTTTCTTCATCAATTTCTTGTTAGAATCATAGAAAAATCAGGGTTGGAAGGGACCTCAGGAGGTCACATCTAGTCCAATACCCTGCTCAAAGCAGGACCATCCCCAGCAAGGCTTTGTCTAGCTGGGTCTTAAAAACCTCCATGAATGGAGCTTCCATACCCTCTCTAGGTAACCCGTTCCAGTGTTTTACTACCCTCCTAGCAAGAAAGTTTTTCCTAATATCTAACCTAAACTTCCCTTGCTGCAACTTGAGACCATTGCTCCTTGTTCTGTCATCTGTTAAACCTAGACACTCTTTAAAAAATAGCAAAAAAACCCACACAGTCTAACTCCAAGATGCCAAGAGATAGAAAATGTCCCACACCCCCCATTTTGGTAATCTCATCCAACAGCCAGTCACCCTTAGTTAAAAATATTGCCCTTTCAGGTTTGTATCAACAAGTAAGGTGTGAACTTAAAGAAGAGGAGCTATACCCCACCTCGCTGGGGTCGTTTGACCCCAGTACTCTTTCCTACCATGGCAGGGGGTCGGACTTGATTATCTGCTCAGGTCCCTTCCAACCCTAACTATGAAACTATATCTGCATAACCACATGTATAGATAAATTCGTATTTCCAGTCTTAACTCTATCTTCAGCTTCCAGTCATTGGATGCCAAGCCTCTCTCTGCTAGAGTAGAGCCTTCTAGTATCTCTGTTCCTTGCAAGTAATCATAAACAGTGATCTAAAATTATTTAGTAGATCAAAGAAAGGTTACATAAGTCAATTTACTTTACTCTAGCTATTGTCCAAAATGTTTCCTCAATCTTTAACTAAACCATGAAATGCAATAGGATAAATTTTAGCTTTAGCTCAGATCTATGTAAAAAGCAGATTTGTAGTAACCTCCTGTGGTATAAATAGATAAGGCCTGAAATGGAGTCTTGAACTACGTGGCAGTTTTTGGGCAGATGGCATCCCAGAACAATCGTCTGTTTTGCCCTATGTCCACACCACCAATAGCACAGTCCCAAAAATGGTAATATTAATATGCATTCATCAAATGTGTTGCATGTTTATAATGCACTTACTGCACACTAAGAAGATTCTCAAGTGTATCTGATGATTTTTAGTATTCGTAGTACTTATGGCATAAGGTCATACATTCACTTCAGGGGAAAAAAAGAGAAAAGAAAAAAGTTTTCAAATTGACTTCATTCTTTTGTTGTAGAGAGTTTGAGGACATAGTGCTCCCATCTATAGATGTATCCAGAGAGGTAAACACTAGTGAAGAAGGGCTGTCAGCTATATATATACCATATTGGCACAAGTACAAACTGACAATGAATGAGTTTACACTAGGAATTAGAAGGCTTTTAACCATTAGAGGAGTAAGGATCCAGCAGAAGTAGTGGAGACAATAAAAGTAACTTGTTTCAATACAGAGATTGACAAACTCATGAAATGGGATTAGGATGTGCTTGCCTGTGATCATGGAGAACCAGACTCTGACCCAGCCAGCTCCCTTCCAAGCCAGCCTTCTCAAACAGAGGTCCAGTGGGGCCAATACAGAATAGATAATCTCGTTCGCCACTTCATTCTCTTTCTGAAAGTCTTTTTAGTCTGTGGTGAGTTAAGATCATTTCTAACTAGATTATAAGAAGTTACTGGGCAGTGTGTTTGAGGTGGGAGTTATGAGGCGGTTACTATAGGCAGAAGAGTGCTAATAGCTTCATAAGGCTGTCAAACCAGAATTTTTAACCTGAGAATTCTCCAGGATTTAGTAATCCTCTCATATTCTACTGCTTTTTTCATAGGGGAAGGGTCATAAGTATATCCACTATCATGTTCACCATGGGCTGTAGTACATTGTCAAGGTGAATCCCAAGCATCATAAGATACAGTACCTCTTGTTCTATCCTACTAAGCAGTGCAGGCTAAGCTCTGCTCAGAGACAAACCCATCCGAGCATGATGCAGGCAAAAGCCCATACTAAACATAGGACTGGGGAGGGAGAAGGTAGAGTCTTCACTCTAGTCCATTCCTAATTCACCTACCTGAGCAGAGCAGACACCAGTAGGGAAACAAGCTGAAAAGGATTGCAGTAAGTTACCTGCACCCCCAGCATCTTCTCAGCAAGGGGGGAGCCAAGAAGAAACAATTACTCTTTGTGCATATGCTGTCAAAAGAGGGGTGATGCACATTGCTCTTTCCTTGGGGCTGCTGCTTCTCTAGTTTAGCCCTATTGGTAGTACCACTCTGAATTAATTTGCTCTTTTTGTCCTAGATCACTAATTTTGCCTCCCTTTCTTATGCACCACAAATTCCAACCAAGGGATCATAGTTCCCTCTAGGGCAGGGATTCTCAACCAGCACGCCTTCATCCTTTCAAGGGTGCCACAAAGTACTACACAATGATAGCACTGTCACAAAATAAATTTGGAGGGCATGTCCACATGCACTTGCACATATGCTTTGCAGCAGCCTCAGAGACTTTTGAGGTGCAGCAAAATGCACCCTACAAGCATGATTTGGTTCTCTGCATGACATATTTGTAGTGCAGAGCCAAATTTAGATACTGTACTGGGAAATCCCAGTATTAAAAACAAACAAACAAACAAAAAAAAATGCATGACAAAAAAAGTGACACAGTGCATGTGGCAGCAGCACGTGCTGCCCAAGACCAGAGCCTGGACTGCCAGAGCCATAATCCAGCTGCCAGCCAGGCTCCACACTCCCGGTTGGCTGCTACTGTAGCCCCAGAAAGATCCCAGGTAAGACTGCTGGGGCCAGCTTAGGTGCTGGCCGCAGCATTCCCTGCTCCACCCAGGGCAATCTGCCCCAGGCCAGAGCACACATGAAGGGGCATTCCCCAGGGACAACAGCAACAACACAAATGTGTGCTGTTTCTAGTTGTTCCCAGGAAAACACACATGTGCACTCATTTGGATGTGCCAGAGATTTCAAATAGGAATCTATAGAGTTGAAAACATTCTGACCCTTTGTGGTCCGAGTTCTCTGCAACAAAAGAATTGCAGTATTTTTCTGCAGTTAAAAAAAATCAAGTGAATACTAATAAGTACCATCTCCCAAGGGGTGTGTTGACTCTAGTGGTGGGGGGCAGGGATCAAATCTAAAAAATGTTGAGAACCACTGCTCTAGGGCCATAGCACTCTTCAACAGTGCTTCAGGGTCCGTGTTCTCCTTTGCTGACAGAGCTGCCTTTCTCCACAGTATTTCCTGCTGGGCCTTTTCCAGTGTTACAGAAAAATGTTTGGATTCTGATAATAAAAATCCTTAACCTTTAATTAGCCACAGAAAGACTTTTAATGAGTCAGAAATCAAACTAACTCAGAAGTCAGTGCCCTTCTAATTACTATTTCTGTATGGCTCCAATGGGTGGTATGCCTATAGTGGTAGAAACTACTGCAATTGGTGTGAGATAGCTCAGGCTGTGGTAGCTCAAAGTTTGTCCTAGACTAAATTTACCCTACTTTCCATGTCCCTTTTCTGAAAGGAGTTGTACAGAGTCATGAGAGCGTCGAAATGTTTTCTGTTGGATTAAAGTCCATGCATTCCTAGGTGAAAAGCAACCCTTACATCCAAACCTGCACTTAGATTTGCTCACATTTAAAACTAATTTTACTGCACCATAAATCACGAGAGGCAGAACCAAATTGGTGCTCCTTGTGCTAGACACATACATGACAAACCCTGCCCCAAAAATCACTTATAATCTCTTCATTTTCTAAGGCTTTTTGAAATGCCTGCTAAATGAACTAGTCAGCATCACCTTGTTGCTCATGCAACATAATGCTACTCATGTTTGTCTTAAAACATAGTAAAGGAATGTCAACACAGATTAACTTTCACTGAAATCTTCAATTAATAGAAACCACTGGAATTGGGTTTTATAAAGCCTGTGTTTTAAACAATGCACTCTATTTTGGAGCAAATCCCATAGCCCTTTTTAAAACCAATACAGACTAAAAGTCTTGTTTCTAGGCACTTAATCAAGGAAAGAAAAAGTCACATGCGCAAAACCCTGAGAACCCTTCTGGGTACTACACTAAAGTGCATGCAGAAGCTTTGGTATTAATTTAGAATATATCATGCTGCACTGTCACCTAAGAAATGGTCCCCTTCACTCTTTCTTGAGTATTCTTCTAAACAATGAGGCCTAAAGAGCAGATTGTCTCCTTTGTTAGACCACATAACACTGGATCTGTGTATATACTTGAACCATAACTTCTAACATCTCTCTATAGCTGTAGAGCCTGCTATCTAAAATGAGTAAGGCTGATTTTTTTCTTACCTGCTCCTTCAACTCTATTGCCTCACCAACACAGAGCTTTCCCACTTGCAGAGTAATTCACACAATCCTCCGCAACTCCATTTCATCACTTTATAACACACCTGCAAACACTCATCATTGATGATAACTGAGATGCCTTTTGAGGGGAAAAGGAAAGGTGCCCTGACAAGTCCTCCTCTGCATGTTCAGCTCCTGGGTGGTCAGATGTTCAGCTGGCATTAATCAACGTATCACAGAAATCAGACTATGATTACCATCAGCTGATGATCAGATTATGCAGGCTGGCTTTTGTCAATTAGCATCTCTAGCCTTGATTCTTTTCCCCATTATCTAGGTGCCCTCACTTTCAATGTTGCTATCCTAATGCACATGCAGCTAGTGGAAACAAACAGCACAAGCTCATGTCGAGACTGAAGGTTCCTTTCCTTGGATACCATTAAGTTAGCAACTAAGTGATGCTTTATTCAAATGGCTTAGTCAGGGATAAATCATATTATTCATAGATGCTAGGGTTGGAAGGGACCTCAACAGATCATTGAGTCCGACCCCCTGCCCTGGGCAGGAAAGAGCGCTGGGGTCAGATGACCCCAGCCAGATGCCTAACCAGCCTTCTCTTAAAGACCCCCAAGGTAGGGGAGAGCACCACCTCCCTTAGAAGCCCATTCCAAGTTTTGGCCACCCTTAACATGAAGAAATTTTCCCTGATGTCTAGCCTAAATCTGCTCTCTGTCAGTTTGTGACCATTGGTCCTTGCTACCCCAAGAGGCGCCCTGGTGAACAGAGCATCTCCAGTTCCTTGCTGCACCCCCTAATGAATTTGTAGGTGACCACAAGATCACTTCTCAGCCTTCTCTTGCAGAGGCTGAAGAGGTCCAGGTCCCTCAGTCTCTCCTCATAGGGCTTGGCCTGTAAAGCCTTAAGTATATGAGTGGCCCTCCTCTAGACTCTCTTCAGGTTATCCACATCCTTCTTAAAGTATGGCACCCAGAACTGGATGTAGTACTCCAACTGCAGTCTAACCAATGCCGCATAAAGGGGAAGTATCACCTCCTTGGTTCTGTTTGTCATGCATCTGCTGATGCATGATAAAGTGCAGTTAGCTTTGCTGATGATTTCATCATACTGATGACTCAGGTTCATCTTGGAGTCCACTAGGACTCCGAGATCCCTTTCCGCTTCTGTGCTGCTGAGATGGTCATTCCCCAGCCAGTAGGTGTGCTGGATATTTTTATGCCCTAGGTGCAGCAGTCTGCACTTGTCCTTGTACTGCATCCTATTGTGTTCTGCCCACTTATCCAACCTGTCCAGGTATGCCTGCAGTCGTTCCCTACTGTTACCAGATTTGCCCATCACTTCAGGGTGTGCTCATTTATTAGGGATACGTTTCTAGGGTCTTAGTAATTCTATCAATGTGCTGCTTGTGTTACTTGTGTTTCTATACAGAGCTATATCTCTCCCTTCTGCAAGTCCTCACCCCCACTGAAGCTATCTTGCGGGACTCAGTTTCAATGGGGCTGGGTTCCTCCAGTCACCAAATCAGTCATACACACAAACAAACACAGATTAATGTGAAACGCCTGACTCGGCCAGGTTGATCAGCATGGACAGGCTGACACCCTCATATGCCAAGAATCAGTTCATCAGAGCAGCAATAAACTGCAATCAGACACAAGCACACAGTTAAACAGAATACCTCTGAATCCGGCTGGGTGTCCAGCTGACATCCTCATGGGCCAGCATTCAGTTCATTAGGGCACATCTGAGTCAAACTGGGTCTATCAGCCTGTACAAGCTGACCCCCTTATGTATTTCAAACTCAGCACATCAAAGCTATTTAAATGCACAAAAATATTTAAGTTTTTTCATTAAAGAAAATTTCTTATAAATTCTGGATACTCTAGAGCCATAGAGAAGGAAACGGAGATTAGTGACTCACAGGATGTGGGTAAACCCAGTCCCATTATTGGAACTCAGTTACCCAAAGGAGGGAGGGAACAAATGGAACAGCTGCTGCTAGAATTTAAAGACGTGTTTACAGAGGTACCAGGCCGGACCAAAGGAATTTTCCATCGGATTAAAACTAAACCAAGTCAAGTGGTGAGGCAGCACTGGAGAAGACTGCCCCAGGCCCTGTACATCCCAGTCCAAAATGTTATCCATGGTATCTGAAAAAAGAAAAAAAAAAAAACTGTGATTGAGAGAGGGAGTTTCAGAGATTCTGAGTTCTGACCCATGATATTCCCTCCCTAAAAGCGGGCTTGTGTGACTTTATATTTGGGATTTATGGGGCAGAAAACTTGATAGGAAGCCCCACAGTGGAGGACCTGTCACCTGGACATAAAAATAGGGCAGCATATATATATGATCCCTGTAAGGGAGAACTAATGAGGCAGACAATACAAAACTGGTCTGCACTAAAACATCTGGAGTGGTAAGGGCAGGGTAGGGGGATGGTGGAGTCCTGTGAAGAGGAGGCAGTCTGGTAAGTTGCAGAATTAAACATCAGATCTATCTCCCAAGAACATGTCTTTTTTTGTTTCTTTCTCTTTTCCATCCAAGGCACGGCAGGAAAATTCATAAGGTCCCATCAGGTCCAGATAGAGGAACTGTAACTTTGATTTTTCTTTGGCACAGCAAGATATTCCACATAATCCAAGTGGAAAACAAACCACTACCCCATTTTGTAACACTAACCCATTCACCTGCTGTGGGTTAGAGTTACAAAAAGATACTGCATGTCACAAGACAAGGGTCAGTATCCACTGTACATTAACAACCACTGAAACATCTTGACAAGTCTTAGGTCTTTCTTGCATATATCACTACTTAAAGCTTCAGCATGCAGTTGTTTGGAAGGTGAAAATTTCCACTTTCATTGCAAGGCTTTAGCCCTAATGGCTATAGACAAAAGCCTGAGAAGATAAATAGAGAAGGCAAAGAATGAAATCCCGAACTTTTAAGAATCTCATGGCTTTTTGGTGAGTCAATTTTGGGGGCCTGACTGAGTTCTAGAGTTGGAAAAATTCTGTCATCTTTGAATCAGACTGACTTGCTGACTACAGATACTTCTGACTTTTCAAACTGGGTTTGTCAACAAAATCCAGGCATAGATCTGTCACCTACAGCAGTTGTGTTGTTAGCAGTGGCAATGCATAGAGGATGCACGGGGGTGCACGTGTACCCCCTGAGAGCATTGGTGCAGCCCCTGACAACCAGCGCTCCCTGGTTAGGTGATGGGCAGGAGGGGCAGGTGAGAACACCGGTGCCCCCCTGTGAGCGCTGACCAGGGAGCAGGGGTGCCAGGAGAAGCACCACTGCCACTTCCTGGAAGCACAAGCAGCACTCCAGGTAGGTGCAATTGGCCATGTGGGGACCCCCCCAACCCATTCAGTGCAGGCTGCCCTTGACCCAGGAGGCACCAGTTGCCTATGACTGTTACTGGCAGTGCTTGCTGTGACTGAAGTAACTCATGCCCATCCAAGCAAGGTTCTTTGGGTAGATGTGATTCTTTTATTAGACCAATTAAACAGTTGGAAAAGAAGTTCTTTGCAAGCTTTCAGGCACAAACACGCTTCATCAGGCATAGG